ATTTTGCGCATCTGAGGTGAGTCAAGCGTGAGATGCGTGAGAGTCTTCTTTGGTCACGTCGTGAGTGCCACGACAGGGGCTGTGCGGTTAGCTGCGTAGATTGGGTAGTGGCTTGAGCATCTTGAGCAATATGAATATATTGCATAGCATTTGATGAAGCATGTGAAGCATGACGTTCGGAAATCCTTGCGTATGAAGGCTCAAACCATTAAAGACTCAATTCCAAGTATCTGTTGCACAGCATGTGCAATCTGTTTTCGCTGACATCACAAACCAAAGTGGAGAGGGGCTCTGCTGGAGAAATGGAGGAAGTACCGCGTGCTTGGATTGAGTTGCAGGCTTGAATCTGGATTTTCAAGATTCCACGTGAAGATAATTTTGAGCCATATGATTGAGCCATATTTTCTGGATTGGAATGATTGGATGTGCTATATTTTTTTGAACTGGATGTGTATAATGCATATGATGCACTGCGCCAGCTGCTTGTTTCTTCAACATTGAGAACCATGTTCCGGAACAGTCCCTTGACCCCCCCCAACATAGTTTTTGCCGGGAAATAGGTCCAGACCTATTTCTGGACCCCTCTGACCCGACCCCCACACCCCCCCCTGATAAATAGGGGGAATTTTTTGATTACAGCTGAAGCAGTCTGTTTCTAGATCATCATCAGCCTAGGCCCGTCTTTTGCAAGGCCCTCGGCTCTCTCACGCTCCTTCTTGAAGAGAAAGTAAAGGGCTGCGTATTCGCTGCGCATTGACATGCTTTGGTTTCTTGGCACAACAGGCAATGTGTAGGTGCCTACTAGCACCCAGGCCAAGACTGCCAGTGGGGCATGTGGTCAGATTGGGGCGACTGCTCAAGGCCGAGAATTCGTACGGTCGTGATCAGATGAAACGTGAAATGCTGAGATGTTTAAAGTGCCAAACAAGTGATCATACGAAGAAGTCAGGTGTGGAGGGCAACGCTTTCGCCATCGAGCAATCATGAAGATGCCGAATGAATGTGGGAATGTGTGCGATCCGCGCAGAGCCTTTGCTGGCATTTTTCCCGCTCGGCTGTTGATGGGTCCTCGACCTTTCTTGGTTTCGTGTATGTACCCCAGGTGCCAGGGAGGTTGCCCCATGCAGCAGCAACTGCGAAACCGTCAAGTACTGTGCAGCGATCACAGATGATTGTTGGGTTGTGATGACTGTTGCCTATGGGATAGACGGGAATGTGAGACGAGGCATGGACATCGTGGACCAGTGGCAGTTCTTGTGGCACAGGATGTGGCGCCTCTGCCGTGATCAGGACGCAGAGACGTTTTCATTGAGGATCTCATCCTGCATTCAAGACACAACAGTGGTCCGACAGTGCAGGAATCGCGTGATGACTCTTATCGATGCACCCGGGCCAGGTTTTTTTTTCAAGGTGCGTAGGAGCTGAGTCTTGTTTGACATGCAGTGCCAGCATGCTCTAGGGCTTGGCCACGTCAAGCTGCTCAGCAACGCAGCTCAATGCTGGTGGCACAGCTTTGCCAAGATGCTGGGGCTGGGCCATCTTTGTGGATTCAGGTCAGCGCATGTCCGGAGTCGATACAGTGCAAGCAGCAGTGCCAGCCGAGGCGCAAGTATTTGTGCTTAGTCGTTGGCGGTGTAGAAAGCATGGCTAGTCAGGGACTGCCAATTCGGATCCTGGAGTGAGTGGAATCAGCCAAGCTGCGTGCAGTTCTCGGCAAAACTCGGAAGCATGCAAAGCATGTGATGGCCTTCGCTACCTGAAGCCTCTGCACACGAGCAGTCTGAGGTTGGTCTGTGCGAGCGGCATCGCACCGTCTTGGCAGGGATCCTTTCGGCTACAGCTACCTGTATCCACGCGCTGGCATACCCACGCAATTCAGGCTATGAACAACGAGTGTGGAAAGCCTTGCTTTGGAGCACTGCAACTCATCAGCACATAACGTGCGTGGATATTTTCTGTGTGCGTTTCACGTAAGGATGTGACGATGTGGCATGTCCTCGTGCGTAAGCTGGCACATCTAGACATCTCAGCCTGCAAACTCTGCTCGAGGCAGGAGACGAAACACTGTGAAGCTGACTGCCAAGTTCCACGAGATTGCAAGTTATCCGTGTGTCATGCTCGCACTAGCTACCGTTTGGGCGGTTTGGTGAGTCTTTCAGACTTTCAGACTGCCTCTAGCCCTGTGTCGCAAGGTGGACCAGCTGGTCTGGATGCGAGGAGGCAAGCTTTGGCAGCTTTGCAACGCTCAAGTGATCTTTGTATGATGGCACACCGCGCTCGTCAGAAGAAATCGGTCAGGCTGGCGCGGGCGATGTGGCGGCGCTGCAGAAGTTTCGCGAGCGGCAGGTGGTGTAGAGCCCTTTACAGATCATGTGCTCGCCTTGCGCACTGAAGCTGAGCATTGTGTTCAAACTTCGGTAGGTTCTCAGCAAGCCGAAGAATGGCGGCGTGCCCTGCGAGGGCAGTCTCAGCTACTTAGTGGCAATAGGACAATAGGACGCCAAGGATTAAACAGAGCATTCGTGGACCAGTTTCAGAGTCTCCTGTCATGGGGTTTCGATGAGGAGAAACATCCAGCTGCAAAGGATCCGTTTGCCACCCAGATTGCTCTTTCACACCGCAGCAGGTTACAACGGCTTTTGTAGGGAAGTGCTTTTTCTGTGCTTGCTGTTGAGTTCATGAGGCTATCCCAGAACCCTCATCCTTTGCTGTACTGTAGCATAATCAGTGACAGTAAGCTCGGAATGCTGGTTGCATCTTGGGGCGAAATCGCCACAAACCTCGAAGGCTCGTCTTTTGTCTTTACCTGTAGCGCTTGCGGATGGCGGAGTTCCCTGGTTCCTGTTTTTGCCTAGACCACTCGGCCCTCCTTATCCTTACCTGAACAGATTGAGCCACGGTTTTTTTGTCAACGTCTATCTTGTCACCTTCTAACCTCGAAGTGACGCGCCTCTAAAACATTTCGTCCGTACAAAGGACCCTGATGCCGCGCTTGCCCAACCAAGCGGTCAGGTCAGAAGATGATGGCAGTAGGAGGTAGCACGACTAGCATAGTGTAGATGTCCCAGCCACGCTTGCAGGAGTTTGGGCAACGGTCTACCATAGCAGAAATCAAGGGGACAGGGAAGAAGCGTGCTCTATGGAGAATTCTGAAGTCTAAACATTCCAAGTCGCTGACAGTAAAACAACCAACTCTCAGTTCAAGACCTTGAGCTCTGCTATATGCAGAATCCTGAAAGGCTTCATGCAGATTTATCTTGTGTCCTGCAGAAATCTCATGGCACTCAGGATGCCACAGACTGCATCCTGTCGAAGTGGAGCAGCTGGGGCGTTTGCAGCAAGTCTTGCCGGTGTCTCAGTTCTCATTGGCTTTCAATTAGGTTGCGTCTGGAATTGTAAATCCAGATTTTCAGGCGGCCGTGGCTGGAAGATGCGAAGCCGACAGGTGCTCATCCCATCGCAGGGGAGCGGACAACAGTGCTCTGGGCCCTTGCAGGACATTCAAAGCGACACGTCATGTGTGTCTTCGACAAATTGTGCTCCCATGCTTTCCTGCCCAGCCGTCCTGTAAAACTTGGGCCATAATGGTGTTCTTGCTTGATTAGGAGAGCATGTTGTTGAACATGCCGTTTCTCCAAGCGCGCTCTCTGTGTTCCTGAATTATGAGAGCATCGTGAAGCCTCCAGAAACCTGTGCTGCATACCCTTTCGATGCGACGGCCATCTCAGGCGTGATTGCGGTTCACGTCACATGGTAGGAAGGGATCCTAGTCATAGCATGTGTCTGAGTGAGAAAGTCACGCATTTTTTGTGCCTGCATCGCCTTGCTGTTTGGTGACTGCGCGTATCAAAGTGTCGCAGATGCTGGGAATGATGCTTTCTTGGTCTCAGTGTTTGTATAAGGTAGGCTCCCGCACCTTGCCGTTGCCATGTTGACAGCCATCAGATCTAGTTTGATTGTATATGTGGTCAAAATGCATGAGCCTGAGGAGATGGGCGCCTGTGGAGAGGACCCACTTGCTATGGAGCATCCTGATAAGGCCCCTGTGCTTTCTGTGTTTGGTTCAGCAGTTCCTAACTTAACACGATGAAACATCACGCGCTGTGCAGGCCTGTGGTTTGAGTTGCTCGACTGGATACAGCATTTTCCTGCTGTGCATGCGCTTAGAACACCAATACTTGATGATTGATGGCCGGGTTGGGCTGGCAGCTCACATTTCCAGCACCTGCCAGAGTTGGGAAGGAAGAGCTTCCCAGAATCATGCCGTCTTTCTTGTAAACAAGGCCATGCTTGCGAGTTTGAGCAGTGGACGTCTTGGCCACCGTCTCAGTCAGCTATCCCTCTACTGCCTTGTTCTTGTGTTTGGCAGTCATGGTGCAATCACAGAGGTCAGGTCTAGATGGTGACAACCAGAGGTTCCGGAGCAGAAAGGAGCGCCTGAAGAATGTTGAGCCAACACCAGCACTGCCAAGCAAGATTGGAGGTTGCGGTTCCTGCTTCTGGTGGTGGAACTCCTTGTGAAGGGCGCCAGGCTCAGTCATAGCATGGGCAGACGCTCAGTCAACTTTTTTGGTAACAAACGTTCCCGCAGCAGGCTTGAATATAGAAGAAGCCAAGGCCACTGCATGAAACGGAAACTGGTCATGAGGAGAAGGCCACCAACCTTGTGTGGCTCGCTTGCCAAACAAGCCATGGCAGCTGATTTTGGAGGTTGACTGCCAAATGTCCTCATGGACATCCTGGTCTGCATGCGTCTGTGACTTACAGAGCTCTGCGACTTGACCAAAGTCAGTTCACGGTGAATTCGAGTGCTTTGAGGACCGGACTTGTGGAGGTGGCCAATCGCAGAGACAACGCCAGGATGGGTCCCTGGATTTTGTTTAGGATGTTTCGGATTGGCGTGCTTGCGTTGCCGTATGCAAGACTGACCAGGTCGAGAGGTTTCCAAAGAACGATGGAAAGACTTGTCCTCACGAACTCATTCAAACTCGTGGCCGGAACCTTACAGAAGTTTGCAGGACAATGACAACAAACGAGACGGTCTGAGATTGCAGGACGAGTTTGGAACGAGAATATTGATGGCTGTTCATGTGGCAAACTGATAGGGGAAGTGGACAGGGAGCCATTTTGACCTGGCACTCAGTTCTAGTGAGCTCGTGTCTTTGGTTGCCGGGCTTTGTGTTGAATGTCTACTCACATCGTGAAAGCCACCAGAATTAGTTTGGGCTTTGCGTGGAGAAAGGAACTTGCGGCGGGCAGCCTCACGGAGGCTGTGCGCCCTCTCGTTCCGTGCTGCGACAGGTCTTCGCAACCGATCACGATCGATCAAGGAAGTATCGATCAAGGAAGTCGGAAGTCGAGCTTCGCCTTTCGCGGGGACGGGGCTGCAAGTTTGATGAACACCATGGGGATGAATCAATCAGAAGGGTGGGAGGAGAGAGCGTGCAGGGAAATGCTAGATGCTACAGTCAAACGTCCACGAGAAAGAGGACTGTGTTTTCTTCAAGCTTGCCTGAGGCTGTACGCTGAAAGCCTGCTTCTCCCAGGCATTTCAGAACTTGTCAGAGAAGACAATTTGTTATACAACTTGTTGGCATGAAATCAGGATGCCGAGATCAGCGACTGGACAGACTGGACCCAGTGCTCCACCACTTGCGGTCCTGCTAACCAGGCTCCTGGACTGGAATCATTGTTCAAGACTCACAACATAGCAGCCGCAGCGTGCGCTCCACAGGACCGCAAAAGGCAGGTTCTGGCCCTTCGTGGCGCAGGAGGAGAAGGAATCACAGCCGATCTTGCACAAACAAGACCATGTGCAGCAAGCTTGGCTTGGTGCATATCATGTCACACGCTTCCAACCCGCAAGCAATCCGCACACTTGCTGGACTCAGGTGGGCAACCTTCCTTGCGAGAAGTATGACTGCCTTTGGCATGATTGGTCGGTTGGGTTCCTAGCCTCTGTTATGTTGCTGCCTCGCGCACATGCAGAGACAGTCATGCCAGGAATTACAAATGGGAAGCCATGGTGTCTATCTCTTGTCATGTTAAGCCTAACCTCAGGACTGGAGCGATTGCACATGCACATGCGGTGGGGGCCAGAGGCGCTGGTGTTGCTTGCCGGCGAAAGTTGTATGATTGTGAGAGTTCTTGACAGGACACGAGACCGATCTGTTCGCCGAATGCCCAGCCATGGCGGAAGGCCTTGCGAAGCAAAGGAGAAAATGGTGCTGGGCTACTGCTGGCTTTCAGAGCAGACCGATTGCAATGTCGGCGCTGTCCAGACATGCAAGAATGTTCGAGAGGACAAGGAGGAGATTGAGCCGTGCAACGTGCAGAAATGCAAGCATGACAACTGCATTGCGACTGCCCCAGCTTGACGCGCACTGCGTAGTGGTCTGCCATTTCTCCACGCACGTCACGTCACATAGATGTGTTGGAGGATGGTGAATTTGGGCCATGGTCTCGCTGGGGAATGTGCTCCGCGACATGTGGCGGAGGAGTCTCGTTCAGGCTTTAACTGGCCGGCATTTGTCACTCATCACGTGAAGCTGCTGACGGCAGGCACAGAGCCATTGTCCAGGACGCCAATGAGTGTGGCAGGGAACCAGCGGGCAAGGCCTTCACGGGTGGCAACAGGTTTGGAACCCATGGTCTCACCCACAGCTTGCAACAAGGCTCGGGAAACACGCTTTTGCAATACTGACGTGGACTGCGAAGCTCCACTAGACTGTCTGTTTGCTCCGTCGTGGGCTTAGCTTAGAACTCATCCTCACATCTATCTCTGGCAGTGACGTCACCAAGGTGGTCGCAGTGGACCCCGTGCACACGCACATGCGACGGTTTGCAGCGTCGCAACAGGCCCGTTGCAGGGCAGGTTGCATTTGCTCATTTGGAGTGGGTTCAGGCGTGTGGACAGATTTGGACGCGGCAAGGGGGCGTGGTGCCTGGGCAACCTGAAGGAAACGAGGCAAGGATCTGCAGATCCTGCTCGTGGCAGGTGGTTAGTCTGGTCCGTTTGCACTGATCGTCCTGCAGGACTTGCAATCCTGTGGTGGGAGAAGCCCCAGTGGCAGGATGCTCCTCGGGCCCTGTGGCACCTTGGCATGGCAGATGAGCCTGCAGACCGGCGTGTTCTTTTAATTCGCCCCAGGCAGACTGCCGCTTCTCTATGTGGGCTGCACGGACCTAAGGCATAATTTCGGTCCCCTGGTGTGCATGGTCAAGTGTGCCAAGAAGAAACAAACTTTCTACCCCTGAGGCCTGGTCTGTTTGCAGCGCGACTTGCGATGGCGGCATGCATACCCGCTCAAGAACCATTGATGCTGAAGCTGCAAACGGTGGCAAGGCCAGAGATCTCATCAGATTTCACTTGCAGATTTCGGCTAGCGAAACGTAGCAAACATGGCAACGCCACAGGCTTGCGAGGGTCCGATGAGCGAAGTCCGGGAATGCGGCCGCAATGAGTGCACGATGCCAACTCCAAGAGACTGCCAGCTAGGTGAGTGGCGTGAATGGGGCGCATGCGGCAAATGCAACGGCCAACGTTTTCGTAGCCGGAACATCATCCAGTATGCCGAGTATGGAGGGCTTAGCTGCAACGAAGCAGACACACAAGAGGCGACATCGTGCCCAAGGCAGTGTCATGAACCTTCCTATTGCGTTTGGTCGGACTGGGAAACTTGGAGCAGATGTTCTGTGAGATGTGGAACTGGTGCTTGCCCGAGCTTCCTCTGCTTTAGTGCTGTATTGTAGTCCATATGACACAAGGCACAGCTAGAGCAGAGCGTCTATCCAACAGGAGGCAAGCGAACGAGAAGACGTTGGCTGGAAATCACAAATGACAAGTCACGTGCCCTGGACGTCCTTCCTCCAGTGGAGGACCCTTGAGTTGCGGGTCTTTTGAGGAGTCGGCAATGGGAACGCGATCATTTCTCAAAGCCTGCCACTTGCCCAGGATCTCCTGCAGAAGTACTCAATCCTGCATCGACAGACTCAGGCAAATGTGTGCAGGCAACTGAACCGGCTTTGCATGTCTTGTCGAGTGTTGAGGATTTGCAAGACTCCCACATCTGGGAGTTGCTCTTGGCCTTTGCAGCAGGCGAGCTGAAAGTCTGCGTGCAATGCTCAACTTCTCTCAGAAAGCCTCAGGCTGTGCAGCTTTTGTGGCGCTACTTGGGCTTGGCATAGCGATTTCGGGCAACCGGTGTCTCGGCAAAATTATGTTGGCCCTGTGGAAGTGTGGTGGAATGTTTGGCTGCCTTGTTGTGGTTGTCGTTGTCGTTGTTGTTCCACCCTAAGTGAAATCTAAGGGTTGTCCTAGGACTTGCCTACCTTCTCTACCAATTTGCGCTGAGCAGGGGGCAGCGAGCATTTCTGGATCTTGCTGCCTAACAAAGACCGTCCAGATTTGCTGCGATATCAAGAGAGGATGCTATCTTGAAGCACTTGCTGACCACTGGGACAAGTGGCATCTATTCAAATTCTTACGTTGTATATGCTTTGCTGTTGGTTCCCATTAGTGCGCTGTAGCTACTTCTCGACTATCTGCGGGGTGATCAGATCCCGAATGCACCAAATTCTTACCGTCATTATGATGGATGTGCAGCACGCCATGCCCACACAAGGCAAAGAGGCGGAAGGCAAGGCACCCGTCGAGTAGGCTGATGTGGCCAGTGGTGCCAATAGTAAAAATGACAGTGCCGTTTTGGGCAGCGTCAAAGCGCTAGGAAATGCCTGGAATTGATCCGGCCTGTCACAGCTCACTCCCAATGATCCTGCGGAGCCAGACGTCGTGCTTGTGAAGTTGATTGTGTTCCTTGGGGTACAAACGCGCTGAGAAATCGCCACCACAAAGAAGTTGACCACGAACCGATGAGATAACGCCACCGACACAGAAGTTGACTGTGTAGAGCCGCTTTGAAATATTGCTGCCATGAAGAAGTTGATTGCGACGAAAATAGTACTGCAAATGGTGTGGCTGCAAACCATGGGCATACAACCACTATGAGATTGCGCCGCGACAAAGAAGTTGATCCCGAACCGCGGCAATGCCACCGCGGCAAAAAGCGCTACCATGAAGAAGCTGACCGCCAAACGTGGGGATGCCAGAGCGGAGAAAAAACGCCGCTATGTAGAAACAACACAGTGAAATAGCGCGGGCCACGACAAGGATGCAAATTTTAGGATAACAACAGTGATGAGAAAATGGCGTCACAAAGACGCTGACCACGGTCTGTGGAGCTGACGGAAGTCGATTGCGAACCCTTGGAATACTATTGCGAACGAAGACATGGACTGCAAAAACGTGGGGATAGCACTGTGGCAAATAGCGTGGCCATGACGAAGTCGACCACCAACCATGGACGTACTATTGCAATAAGGAAATGGTAAACAAGTTCAACACAAACTGTGGGTATACCACAGCCCCAGGGATGCCTGTGCTGTTAAATGGCTCCGCAACGAGGAGTATCACGATGAAGAAGCAACACGGCACACATGGTCGACCGTGAACTGTGGAAATACCATCGCCGGAAGACAGTGCCGCCATAAAAAGGTTGAGTAGGAAAACTTCGGGGATGCCACCGCGTCAAAGAAGCTCCACAATGAAGAACTGGACCGCGATGCGTGACAATGCCACCACCACGAAGAAGTTGACCGCCAATCGTGGCGATGCCAGCGCATTAAAAGTGCCGCCATGAAAAAGTTGACCGCGAATCAGTGAAGGTGCCGCCATGAAGAAGTTGACCACGAATCGTGGCGATGCCACCGCCAGAAAAAAGTTGTCATCAAGAAGTTGACCGGGAACCGTGGGGATGCCACCGTGGAAAAAGGGGACCCGCAAGCAAGTTGATTGCCAATCCCGGCGATGCCACAGCCGGAAATGTGCCACCATGACGAGGTTGACCGCCAACCGTGGGGATGCCACCGCGGTAGAAAAGCGCTGCCGCAAGAGCTTGACCGCGAACCATGGCGATGCCACCGCAAGAAGAATTGCCGCTACGAGGAGGCTGACCGCAAACCGTGGGGATTCCACCATGGACTACCGTGCCAATGCCACCGCGGCAAAAAAGGGGCCGCCGATACAAAGTTGAAGATCGTCGGTGGCGAACAAAAGGTCAGCCAGCACCACCATGACGAAACTGAACGCAAAAGGTGGGAATGCCTGCCAAAAGAAAACCGCCGTCGTGAAGAAATTGAGCACGAACCGTGGGGTTACCATTGATTGTCATGTGTGCTCCGGCACTGCCAGGGGGAGAAGGGGGTGCTCGTCAAGCCAGCAGCTTTTAGTGCGCCCGGCGGGGCCTTCATTTCTCCCAGCACCAGCCCCTGGCAAGCCTGCGCTAATGTTTCTTTAGTTTTGTTTGCAAAAGGGGCCGCTGCGCCCCCTCCACTTCCCCCACTTTTGAAAGCCATCTATGCTGGCAAAAGAAAACATCATGTCATCGCCAGGTCTGCTGTAGTAAGGGAAGGTGGTGCGGATCACTTTGTTTGCAAAAGGGAGGCTGCACCCCCCAACCCCCTCGCTTTTTCGCCGTCCATGCTTGCAATAAGCAAGAAGCGTCATATCATCACCAGGTTTGCAGTAAGGGAAGGCTGTGCGGACCATTTTTTTGCAGAGGGGGGCTGCGATCCCGAAACCTCTCTGTTTTTTTGAAGCCATCCCGTGGCTGTCCACGTTTGTTGACACTTTCCAAACTTCGAGAGGATCCGAGGTCCACAAGCAACGATAGTTAAGAGGATCGCGCCCCCGACCCTCACTATCCCTGTGACTGTTGACATTTTCGTAACTCCGAAAGGGTCCGAGGTCGACATTTTGAAGCTCCAAGAGCATCCGAGGGACCAAAAGCAATGACAGATTTGAGGATCACGATTCTAATCCCCGCGATTCTTGTGACGTTTGACGGTTTTGAAATTCCAAGAGGATCCGAGGGTCTAAAAACGATGACAGTTACGTTGATCGCCACCCCGACGCCCACGATCCGCATGACTGTTGAGCAAGAACATAAAAAAGTATCCAGACAAAAACATCCTAAATAGACTTCACAGCCTTCTCATTTGCCCATGCAGGTCAGCTACTGCATTCGCCTTGGCATCCAGAACAGCTTCGAGAAGGCAACGAAGCAGTGTGAGCTTGCGAAAATGCTGATGCAGCATGTGGAGGTTGGGTCTCGCGGATATCAGCAGACATGCCGACCCACAGGGATCATGATCAGAGCTCAGAACCAGTCCCGTAGAGGTGACAATCAAAAGATGAATGGATGTAGGCAGTTCTCAGCTTTGGGCCTAGTTGAATATCGCAGCATAGCGGACAGCGACCTGGAGGACAGCTGACTGTTTGTATCCAAGAACTTAAAACTTGCAGCAGCAAGCTTCAACAGGACATTGGCGATGTTGCCATTGAGCTTCAACTCCGTGATTCCATCAGGCTGTGTATGATGTGTCTCAGTCTGAAACAGCGGTGTAGCTTGGATTGTCCGCCAGGTAGTGAGTACAGCCGAGAGGTTGCTGCGATTCACGCGGGATGATGCTCAGCATAGTCGAGCTGTGTAGCCTGTCTCATGGGCGTGGGTTCTCTGCTTCACATCACGAAAGCTAGCAGAAGCTGGGCGGGTTGTAGTCTCGCCTTGACATCTGAAGGGGTCAGGGGCTCGCTTGTCACTTCTAGATGGTGTAGCTGGTGACTTCTCCATCTGACTCTGCTGATTCTGAAGCTCTGGCGTGGAGTGTTCCCACATTTGAACCGAAATGGCGCTCTCACCAAACACTCCCCAGTGTGCTTGCTGTGGGAAGCATTGAGGCAATAAGAGGATACGTAGCGGTTTCTACCTTCAGATATGCTCTGAAGTAGATGGCCCTGAACATTTGTCATGATGTCGCTTTTTCATGAGCGAAGTCGCCCGAGCCTTGCCTTCAAACCCAAATACCTCCCCTCACACTCTCCAACCCGCCCCAATGCACCGCCCAGCCCCCCGCGATCTTATCAAGAGCAACTAAATGTCTCGGGGCTGGCAACCTATACAGCGGCGATCTTGTCCATATTTTGCAGGTGGGCGGCTTTGCCCTCCAAATACCTACAACCCTAGACCCTGCTGGGCAATATATCAAGGAGATAAGATGATGTAGTAAAGGCCCTGGGAAAGCACGTGATTCTTGAGTATCAGTACCCTGACCTTCGTGCTTTTGAAACTTGAAGTTTCCAAGTACCCCAACAGCCGTGGTTCTGAGATTGTGGTTTCATTTGTAGCATGGCTGTTGACAAAACCTTGTTGTAGTTTCTGAGGCCAAAGGTTTCCCCACACTTCTGGAATATCTCATGATGAAATGCACAAGAGCTTCCCAATTTTGCAAAGTAGTTCTTCTCAGAGGTTGCCATCATGTTTTCAAAAAGTGGGCATCTCATGATTTTCCAATGGTTCCATGCTCGTCAGCGTTCCTTTGTCTGGAGCACCCACTTAATGTACCGTATTTTGAGCCTGTGAAATACGGTAGTTTGCAGGATTGATAATTTCTCAAAGTTCTCCAGCGCCTGCAGCCTTTGCAGAGCTCCGAATGTCTTTATTTCCAGTAATGTTGCACCCTCTTTAATATAGGGAGGTCCCCTCCCCCCACAACAATTTACGCTGTCCTGAATCAAACTTGTTTGAGGGTCTGAGCTGAATTCTAATGGTATAAGTATTAGTAGTATAAGTAGTAGTATCAGTATCAGTACAAGTATTGTCATTATTCGTATTAGCATCAGTATTGGGACATTATAGCGGATACCCAAACATTGCCGCTATAGAGGGTTCCTGATCCAGATGGACTAGGCTTTTGGAAAATGTTGAAGGCTGGGCAAAGCAAGTAATTGAGCTCAACTGGGGCTCTAGATTTGGGGCCTTGAGATTTTGGAAATCCAGGCCTCTAAGCAAAACAGTAAGGAATAGTCATTTTTTTGGAATTAGGCGCCGTTGAGCTTTGACCTTATTTTATGAACAATAATTTTGAAAACTAGAGCTAGATGTTTTCTGTCTTCACAGCTATAAGAGTAATATTGTGGCCCTCCCAAACTTGACATTATAGTCGTGCCCCAAAGATTTCCCTGTGCTGACTACTTTCGCAAAAACCTGACGCAATTGCGGGTGGCCTTAGGTAAGCGGGTGCGACATGATTTGCAGCTTGAAAAGCTCCAAATGCTCTTTGCACTGCAAGGGGCCCAACAGGCCCAGCATCATTTGCAGCTGGTTCCGTTTTGGGTTTTGCGCCCAAAAGGCCTACACTGCATCATGAGCATCAGCTCTTCCGTTTTGGGCCAGCATCATGAGCCTCAGCTGGTTCCGTACAGTCCCAGCATCAACAGGGCCAGCATCACGAGCGTCAGCTGGTCCCGTTTTGGGCAACAGGCCCAGCCCCATAAGCATCAGCTGGTGGTCTCTGTGCCCCAACAGGCCCAGCATCCCAGAGGCGTAGCATCAGGAGCATGAGCTGGTTCCGTTTTGGGCTTTGCACCCCCACAAGCCCAGCATCATGAACTTTGGGCTTTGAGCCCCAATAGGCCTCGCAGCATGAGCAGTGCTATGATATACGCAATCTGCAGAGTTTGGCATCTCCAAATGTCTTGATTTACAGCATGAAAGAGCTAAGATGAGGGGCCCTGTCAGCAATTCTGGTAAATGAGGGAAAGTGAAGAAACATAACGAAGACAGCGTCCGCCATGCGTTATTGCTAGCTTTCGTTGGCTCTGGCTTGACCACCAAGTTGCGCTTCGCAGCGCCCTGATCACAAGCCCTGTTTCACAGTCGGGAAGATTGAATCGAGTGCACAGCACTGGCATGAGCCAGATCTGCATTCTGCTGGCTTTGCAGTCAAGCTATGTGTCGTTGATGCTAAGAAGCTGTTACACCATGTGCTTCTAGTACAACTCATCTGTCCTGTCGGCCAAAGTGCCGTCAGCCCAATCGTGTTCTTCTCAACTTGTTCTTAGACGCTGTTGCAGTTGACAGCATCTGGGTTCAAGGCCGCTATGAGTGCTCAAGGTACTCCGCACTGGCTGGTTGTTGGTGGGTCTGGCTGAGTAATATCGTTTGAATTTGGATTTGTAGACACCCTTCCCCACGGCCGTGCCAGAAGCTTCTTGGAAGGCAGTCTGAGAAGGCCTTCTCTAGCGAAGGCTGCTCCTACCTCTCTGCTGAGGTCAAAGCAAGGAGAACTCAGCAAATTCTTTCAGAAAAGTACCAGGCATACAGCCTTTAGGAAAGCAGTAGATGTGATTTATCTTAGCTGTGGTACCTATGTATCCACAGCTATCATGAAGGTAGTGTCTCGCTTGAACTGCAGCCGGGATTCCGTCTGAGCTGAAAGGAGTTTCCTGATGCGCATGCCATATGAACAAGTACATGCAGAGCAGCCTGCATGTTCTTGCAAACCTCTGATGCCAGCCTGGCTCGTATCTAACTTATCAGTCTTGGCTTCTTGCGCCGGGCGCCATTGTCGTGAAGGCAAGGCGTCCACTTCTTGCCTATAACAATTTGGAGCAACAAGTCTAATTGGAATTTGGTCGTGAAAGCAGAAGCCTTGGTCGCAGGTGAGGTGTTCGCTCGGCCTGCTGGCACACCAGGATGGCCACTTGGACTTTGAAGATTGACTAGGCCCTAGGCGAACGAATCAGTGACTTCGCGAGCTTATACAGCGGGACATCTTCGTTGAAAAATACTCACTTGCTCCCTTCATACAGACTGTCACGACCGGCCGCTGCTCGCAAAGACTTGCATGTGAGCTGCGGCTTGTGTCAATGCATGCAAGGCCGAGCCAATAAAGCCTGCACTGGTGCAGAAGGGCGCGGTTAAGGCCATGCAAAACCTGCCACATCTAGTAGGAGATTTTGATGCTTGACACCTTCAAGCCACTTGCGCAGGATCCCTCGCAAAAGAAGAGGGTTCAGCTGCAAGCTCCTCTCAAGCCAGAAGAGGACTTTGGTTCAAGCCTTCTCAGCGCTTCATACATGACGAAGCACTTGCTGTGAGCTGCCATGCTTCAATGCTCAGGAGGAAGAGGCAGATATCCCATTGGTCGTGACGGACATCGAATCTCACTCTCAAGAGATAAAAGCTTTGTCGAAAGAAATAAAGGAACCTCAGAAGCCGCTAACTGTGGTGACCACCAGTCATTCGACGGCTTCAAGCCCAGAGAACAAGACCCTGCAAGAGCAGGTTGAACAGTGACCTGGTTTGAAGAAGCTGGTGGAGTCTGGCAAGTGTGCATTGATATGCATTCTAGTTTGGCTGGGCAAGAAACACCAGACATCAGCTTCAGGCTGGAAACTGGCCTAGCGCGGTGTGTAGCAGACTTCCGTGCTCAAGCAGAAGAGGCTTGCCAGCTTTCTGCTTCCAGCGGGAGCGTCAAACATATGTTTTCTTGCTGGAGGTGCTGATGCAGCATCTTGATAACCTTGAGGAGGTGCAGTTGGCCCATGAGTTCGAGGCTTGGGCTTGCTCTGCACCACTTTAGCGATCAAGGCCATATTCTCGCATGGATTTGGTGTGCTGGCTGCATGCCAACACTTGCGCAGGTGGCCAACTTGATGGCAGAAAACATGCTGCTCCGCGAAAAACTAGGTCTGAAGTCGACGGAGCAGGTCCGGGACGCACAGCACTTAGCTTCCTGTCATTGATCTCGTTGCTTGGTGTTGGAGATCTTGGTTGGGCGTGCCTGAGATATTCCAGGTCATGTTCCAGAACATCGTCCCGGAGCCTAAGAAGAAGCCGCGACGCGGGCAGAGGATTGACTCCCAACGTTGGAACACTTGTGATGTCGTGCGGATCATTTGAGGTTCTGCTTTCCTGAACCATCGTTCTGCCCAAGCCTAGCCTCCCACAGCCCCAGCCCTCCCGCCCTCCCGCAGTCCTAAAGTCAGGTGTGAATCACATGACATGGGGCACGGCATCCACGGCGTTCAAAGTTTGCTTTGGCCACGTAGAGCTGCTTGAAGCAAGCCTCCTTGAAATTCTTGTGGGAGTCCTTCAGCAAGTAAACCTTTCCACTAGGTGTATACAATTCCAGGTCTGTGCAATCTGTGCAGTAGCTGCTTCTGCACCTGCTTGAACTTGCCTCCTCCCCTTGCATCCTGACAGAGTGGGTCATGGCCCCACATGGCAACTGCCAAGAGATCTGTGAAAAAACATGGATCGTGGGGTCATACTCAATGCTGCTGTCCCAGAATTGCAAAGTCATCTCCTTTCCTTTTTTGATGCATGGCGCGCTGTGGCGCCAACTTAGGGTGGCCAACCCTGCAGCCAGTAAGTGCCACTCAATGCTGCCAACTTTTGCCTTGGAATGTTACTACAGGAATGTTAATCCAACAGTTAGATTTCATTCTGCTGTTGCCACGCCTGCGGTGAGGTAGCTCCTTTTTTTGCAGGAATAAGCATGTTTCTCTCAGCTGCCTCGCAGTCGCGCAGATGTCGCAAAAAGAATGCATGAGGTGCCTGTGACTCTAGCCATAAGAAAGCTAAACAGTAAGCCTCCAAAACCCACTGTCCGAAGGTTCCTACTTAATCGTAGAGAGAGCTATTTTGCCTGCACAGATTTTGGCATGAGCACATCACATGCAGAACTCTTGACAGGAATCAGTTCCAGGATGATGAAGACTCTGGACCACAATCCTTCAAGCAGAGGCAGGATGACAAAGGCTTCCCTCCGCCTGCCGGTTGCTGGCTCAGAGACGGGTAGCATGTGCAATCAGAACTCAAGGAGCTGTTGCTAAGGTCACCAGCAGCAAGGTCGAAACAACAGAAAGGGTGGCAAGAATCAGCCGCCTGGTGGAAGCTGGCAAGCCTTCATGGCATGGGTTCCGAATGGATCTGCAATGCAGACTCTTGGCTGTCACAAAGATTTCTGGCCAACAGCAAAGCTGTGCAACCAACAGTATAGCCACCCCCTACGTGAGGATATTAGGGGGGGGAGTCGTAATGGGAGAATATGCTTCCCACCCCTATTTCTGGGGGGGGGGGGGAGTGGTTGGAAATAGGAGGAAATCCAGGAAATCCAGGAAAAAATAGGAGGAAAATTATAGAACAGAAAGAGATAAGTTCCAATTCTGTCAGGATCTGTCAGGCACCGCGCTAAGGCTTTTCCCTCCCACTGGAGATAGTGGGAGGCAAGGGCAGCGCAAGGATGCGGAAGGCGGAAGCAGCACTGGAGATAGTGGGAGGCAAGGGCAGCGGAAAGATGCGGAAGGCGGAAGCAGCCCGAGCCTCCCACTGGAGATAGGGGAGGCAAGGGCAGCGGAAGCAGTGGAAGCGCAGTCTACCCACTCCCCCCCCCCAACCTGTAATAGGAAATTCTCCTATTTCGAGCCCACCCCACACACCCCCCCTAGATAAGGGGTGGTTATCAACAGTGCAACTTGGGCTGCAGGCGTATTCCTCCAATAGCTCTCCTAAAAGAGGCTTGGCCATGCAGTGACCTCAGGAACGCAGAGCCATGGAAGCCTCTGCCGCAGCCCGACATCGCACAGGCGCAGTCTCCCCAGGCTCAAGGCAAGTCGAAGAAAGAATCGACGTTTGGATTGTCAAGTCAGCTTGTTTTTTTCATCCCTCTTTGAAATTGAACTTTTTTGGTTGGCTCTCACCTTTGCTCCTTGTTCTAAGGAAGAAGAATGCAACGGGGTCAGAAGCGTTGGTTGGGACCTTAGCTGTACGCAAAGTCGAGCCGTAAATCTTTTTGTTGCTTGGCCGAGTATGAAAAAGCTGTGTTTTGCTGAGTCCGTCATCCCTGGCGTCCCATCGGAAGACAAGCCGCGGAAGGACGACGATGACGACTCAGATAGTGATAGTGGCCGAAGTCTCTTGCTTTGCATACAACGAGCGCGCAAGAATAGGGTGAACAAGTTCGTAAGAACAGGTTCAGCCTTTTGCCTCCAAAAGATGTCCACATTGATATTAATTTCCCATGGTGAGGTAATCTTGCTGGGGAAGAGCAGTTCGAGATGCTCGAGGCAAAGCCATCTACGTGAGCTCTTGCTCTTGTCATGCGAACCTTTGCATCCTTCACTAGGTGTGGCGGGCCTCTTCCAAGCAGATGAAAAAGTTTAAGCGGGGTAGCCACGGGGAAACCGAGAGCTCGGTCCCATTCCGATTCTTTGTCTGCAATATGCAGCTGTGAAGTGCTTGTCATGTGTGTCAAACTGTACCATCCAACCAGGTGAGGAAGAAGACGACTATCAGGAACAGCCCCCGCATGGCTGGATCCTGAACCCAGATTCGAATATACGTATTTCCTGGGATTTGGGGAGTTTAGTCATGGTGCTCTACGACATGATCATGATCCCGATGCAGGCTTACACTCTTCCAGAGAATGGCTTCCTTGACTTTATGGAATGGTCGACAAGATTGTTTTGGACCTTTGACATCTTCTTTTCATGCATAACCGGTGTGGTTATGACTGATGGCTCCGTGGAATATAACTTGAAAATAATTTTGAAACGCTATGCCAAAACATGGCTGGCTTTGGACTTGTTGATCGTTGTGTCTGATTGGGCCGAAGTGATATTTTCAAGCGGAAGCATGGCTATGATCAACTTGGCTCGCAGCACGCGAATCATTCGCATTGTAAGACTGCTTCGGCTGGTCCGAATGCAGGAAATCATGGCCAATGTCACTGAACGTATCCAATCAGAGACACTCGGGCCGATGGTGCAAGTCGGCAAGGTCACAATTGTGCTGCTAACAATCTCTCACTTCACGGCGTGCCTTTGGTTCAGTGTTGGAAACCGTTCTACAGCTGAGCCCACCTGGGTGAAAGTTGAGAATTATGAGACAGTTGGTGTAGATGCCCAGTACTTGGCATCTTTGCATTGGGCGCTGTCACAGTTTTCAGGCCGGACGTGGGAATCCTGTGCAGAAAATGCTTGTATAGTGAGAAAGGTAGGAGGCATAGTGTGAACCTTGCAGGTGGTATGGATGAGATTACACCTGCATCTTCTTTGGAACGTCTTTTCGCAGTGGGCATAGGCACCATCATATTTGTGATTGCCTTGGTGATGATGGGCGTGTTCACGAGTGGTTTAACCCAGCAGTACATTATTGGGGGCTCTGGAGCCCGGCAGCTGGCCACGTTAAAGAGATATTTGAAGCAGAACAATGTCTCCAAAGTCATCACAAAGCGTGTCTGCCGAAATGCTAAGCACGCCATTTCTGGCGACTTGACTCCCGAGTCAGTGGAGCTGCTGCAAGTCATTTCTGAACCGCTGAAGGTTGAGCTGGCCTTTGAAACTTGGACTGCAATTTGGCAAGCATTGAAATTTCAGAGACAACATGCTCCTCATCCGAGGACATGTACTCTCAAGTTCTCATGTGGCAGCCCTTCTTCCTCGAGCTGCTTTCAGAGAACTCCCCAATTATGAAGCCAATTTGCCATCGGGCTCCGACCTAAGAATCACACACATACTGATGCTGAGGATGGCTGCATTGCATGATTTCTAAGGCCATGTCCATGCTGCTGCTGTCCAGTACTGACATCATTTTCAATCTGGGTGAGGAGCCAGCGGAACCCAAGATGTACATCGTAGTGTCAGGTAATTTGGAGTACACAGACTCCTACGGAGAAGTGGCTCCAGCTGCCTGTCTCAAAACTGGCTCTTCTAAGTCAAGCCACAATCAGTTTTCTATGCAGAAGAAGGTTTTGAAATTAGTTTAGACTATCACGCATGAGGCGCAGCTAGCATAGAACTACTTGTTGAATAGGAGATTTCATGCTGGCTTTTGGCAAGGTTGGTGAAAAGCGTTACTTAGCGGAAGCTGTTCTTTGGACTCACTGGAAACATCGTGGAACCCTGACAGCGGTCAGCGATGCAAAGCTGGCCATGCTGCTTGGAAAGTGAAGTTATCAGTGAATCCTAATGATCGAAGTTCTTTGTCCGTGGGTAACAAAAAGACCTAAGGCTGGATGCACAGGGCTTCCGTGACATTTGTCAGAGGTTTATGAGAAGAAGCGAGGCGGCTTTGAGGACGCCACACGTAACTAACAGCCACGTCACCGCAGAGATGTGCTGCACAGTCTAGCTGTCACACTGCTGAACATGCCTTTTGTTGAGTGCTTCGCTTGGCTGGGAGGATTGTGCGGTATGCCTCGGACTTTGTAGATGAGCTGAATAAGCAAGAGTTCAAGTCAGACTTGGGCAAATGATCACCACCCCGCTGAGAGTGGCGAGTATTTCAATCACAGAGCTCAATTTGTTGCTTGCTGTACAGGGAGCACTTTGTGAGGCAATTGCTTCATGGGCAGCGTTTCTGGGCTTGGAATAGCCTGCCCGGAGAACATGTCCCTGAACCACGACGGCTGGTCTGGCAGAAATTGCTGGCCACAGCCAGGACTGGGGCAGGCACACGAAGTGTGGACACGCCCGCAGTCTTTTTGGGGGTGAATTGCAGTCACGCTTTGACTTCCAGCAATCCGTTGTTGATTTTTGTCTGCACGATGACTAAAGTTTTAAGTAAAGGTGTGACAGCTCAAGACAAGTTATGTTTGACGAACATAAACGGGTGGTAGAGTGCCATGGGCACGTGCAAGGAGTTGTGGTCTCACGTTTTTTGGCTGCTTAGCGTCGGAGTGATCTTTCAAGAAGATTTGCTTCGGGGTATTGAGACTGTGCACCGTTTTGCCGCGAACTTAGCATTCCTGGCATGGTTTCTGATTTCGGGCAGTTCTCGTGCACACATCGCGCTACGTCAAGACGCCCGGGAATGTAATTATAGGCAGAACGACCAGTCCCCGCAGCCAGTGCCTTGATCCAACTTCGATCCGAACTTCAAATGTGAGCTAAAACAGATGAGGAAAGTCCAGCTGTTCCAGTCAGACTAGTCCAATGGAATTTTCAGATGTCGCGGATGCAGCCAGCAGACGTGGAATCAATTTTTTGTCACGATGCTGTGGCTTTACATCTGCTATGAGTCCACGTTGTTGCCTTTGGTGTTCCGCAGCTTTCAGTTTGTTTGAGTGCCATGAATTCGCGATTGCACGCCTCCAGCCTCGACCGCAAGCAGCGCTGCTTGCAGTCCCATTGCAGTCAGAAACATGGCGCCGTCCAAGCCAGTATTGGAGTGGCCGCCAGATGACCAAGATGAGATAGACCGTATCCAACTGCTTGGTCGACTAGCGTATGATCTGACCGCTGCAGCCTCAGCAAAAAGCAAGAGCTGACACATACACATAAAGATGGTTAAAAGTCTAAGTACAAACATGCATGAGCAATACTGTATGTGAGCGTTTATGTATACATGTATGTGAGAGAGCCCTTGTGGGTTCATTTCACGATCAAACCTTCTCTATAGAAACTAGAACTAATTGAGATAAATAGGCATTTCATTTATTTAGTTATTTAATTTCTCTAGAAAAGGCCAGAGAAATTAAAT